ATATTAATTTCTTTCATAAATATTTTATATTATATTTAAAAAGATTTTCTATCACAAGATGTAAACATTTTTATGAATCATTGTATTTTAATAAAAAATAATGAAATGAAATTTTTAAAAAAAGAAATTTATCTCATTTATCTCTGTTCTTTCTCTTTAATTAATCTTTCTGGTTTATTTATCTATATCGATTAATTTTTAATCTTTTGAATTGTAATTTATCGATTACTTTTATCGAAAAATAAAATACAAACAAAGGTAAAGTGAATGAAAACGTCGAAATCGTTTTTTATTATTTTATTCGAAAAATTCTAATTAAAAAATTTTATTTTAGAGATTTTTTTTTTTTTTAAATATCGTTTCAATTTTTTTCCTTTATTATTATTTCTTTTTTCCTTTTTATTATATTTTTATTATACATATTCCTTTTTATTATATATTTTTTTCCTTTATTATTAAAAAAAATTTTATAGGCAAACTTTGTCAAATCAGTCACAATCGAAACGAGCTTAAGACATATTTTCATGGATCCAGTTTACGTAGGAGGCCACACGAGTATATACAGAGGGCATGTGGGATGATCCACAGGGCATCATACCCCATGAAACGATACCAACTTGTACAGATTTTTGGCCCACCTTTTGGGCGAGTGGGCCGCCAGAGTCACCCTGGAAACAAAATGCAAAAGATTTCTTATTCTAACAAATCTTTCAACTTTCATTTTCAATCTTTTTAAATCCACTTTCGTCTCGATGTATAATTTAATGATCTCAGAAAAAAATAATAATAAAGTTTTAATAAAAAACATTAGTGATTCAAAATAAATTAATGTACTTACGGAACAGGCGGACACCTCTTTGCCAGCGATACCACTGCAGACTTGAGTGTCGAACAATTCAGGTTGGTTTCCAACAACGGGTTGGGAAGTGAGTTCTTTCAAGCATTCAGCGTTATCCAGGATAGGTACATTAGCCTTTTGAAGGATGTTTGGTAAAGTTGGTTTTACTGTTTTAGAGGTTGATCCCCATCCAGAGAGAACAGCTTGTCCAGTTTGTTTCTCTCCTTGTTTGGGCAGGGTAATAGGTTGTACCAAGTTGTTGAATTTCAAGGGGGAGCTCAGGACGAGAAGAGCGATGTCGTGTTGCGCAACGCCACTAAAGTAAAATAAAATTATATTAGTGGAGCACGAGTGATATCGATTTTATTCTAAGTCAACAATTAAAAGATCGTCTCCTCTTATCTCGTCTCTTTTATTTCGAGAATGGGAAATGTCGAGACGAGATTACGTATCGTCTTTCTTGATCAATGAAAAAAAAATGACGAAGAAGAATGTCTGATATACCATTTTAATAATATTTTGATCGCAATATGATTTCTATTTTATTTTTTTAAAGATCATCAAGATTCCATTTTTCTTTATTTCTTTCTTTTTTTCTTTTTTTTTTTTTTTATTTCAGCAATTCTTGCAAGATCGAATAAATTTTACTCACCCTTTGTACCCTTTGTGAACGATGCTCCTCTGCACGTCAACGACTTGTTGAGAAGATTCAACCTTGTTCAGCTCATATTTGCCGGCAATGACTCTAGTTTTTCCAACTTTCATAACACAGTGTCCAGCGGTGAGAACGTATCTTTCGTTCAAGATGGATCCACCACACGAGTGGCTGTATTCAGTTAAGGGTGGGATTCCCCATTGGATAGAAACTTGGTATGGGAATTCACCACGAGCGGCGGGGACGCCATCCGTGATACGGGGTTCCAAGGGGTTGGCCAAACAGGCTGTAAGTAAAATTTTTTAATACTCGTCGAATATCGAATCTCACTTATTTATTAAAAATATAAAATTGAGATTTATTAAAAATATAAAAATATTTAATAGGTTTAAAATAAGTAAGATAACGTGAGATTATTAAGATTATTCTCTTACCCTGGATTACGAGAATTGTAGCCAATAGACACTTGATGAGCATTATTGTACGATTGTCTGTATACAATTTGAAAAATCTAGTGGAAATTACGATTTATATAGCACGTTGAAATTCTATATCTGATGATAATTCAAAATTATAATTGATAAGGGATCCACTCGATACTATTTTTGCGTCAGATATTTACATTAAAATAAAATGTTCACCTTTAAAGAACGATATTGATTATCGACCAATAAGATTTCAAGATTTCCATCGCATCAAATTTTTTCTCCAATTAATAATTCTCAACTATTATTGCTTTAATTAAGACTTCAATGATTAAATTCGAGTGTTTCAATTTCGAACTCACTGTTTAATTAAATTATTAAAAAATTAAAATTATAAATTAAATTATTAAAACTCTTATAGATATAAAAAAATTAATAAAATCATAATTATTTATAATAACATAAATCTTAATATATCGTGTGAGTAAGTATTGAAATGTTTTCAACTCGTTTTTATCTCACAATTATGAGTCATAATTTTTAAAAATTCATTACAATTCATCACACAATTATATAATATTTATAAATCATTTTAAATTGATCAATCTTGATTGATTACATTTATTAGATTAAATTATCTCTCTGAATAATTTACAATATTTACAAGTCATCGTTTAAATCATACGCGATCGTATTTCTATTTAAAACATATACAATAAATATAAAAATCCCGCTATTAATTTTATTATATTTTAATTCCCTCAAAAAAGAATTTCCCATATATTTGACAATTGCTGTTGAAAAAAAATTATCTTCGATTTACATCAATGCCAAACATTAGCAATGTCATCCCATCATACAGACTTTTTCAGATATTTCGCTATTAAAAAACTTTCTAATCTTCGTAAACACGAAAAACGATGAAACATATTTCAGCTCTCAGAAAATGAGAGATCAGTGCCATTCTCGGATCTCACGTTACCAAACGAGCGATCGTTCTTATCCCTGCCCAAATTTCACGAGCAGTGGGCACGATTTGCGATGCTGGAAGCAAAAATCCGTACGTTCCTCGATCTCGAAGTTCCAACGTGTAAGCATATTTTATACCGGCTACACCCTTGGCCCAATCGTCAGAAGCACCTAAAATTTATCAAGTATTTTTCAATTTTTCTATTCAATAAGAATTTTAGCAAACAGAGAATCGATTTTCATTATCTTCGTTGCAAAAATTGCAAAATTTCGAATTATTATCATATTTTCATTGATTGTTCTTTTGAGTTATAAATTTGCATTTAAAAGAAAAGATATTTATGCAACGATATAATTAAATTTAAGTGTTTAATATTTTTGTACAAATTTGATGTAAAACATAAACGAAAATCCAAAAAAATTGCATTATTCTTGATTAATTGCTCGTACAAAAAGAAAAAAAAGAAAACATTTCATATTATTATTATTGACACTTCTAAAAATATCTTTTTATTTTTTCATATATAATCCTATCTTGTCTTTTAGTCAAGTCTTATACTCAACAGTCCATTATCAGTTTAATTAGTTGTTACAAACAAACACATAAGAGAGAACACATAAATGAATGCGAGAGAATACTTTTTAATTTTTAATTATCGAAACAAGATTGATAAGAATCGTTTATTTTCTATCTCGTATCTGTGCAATTAATCGTACCTGAGGTTGGGTATAACAAATCGGCTGATGGGCCGAGTTGATAATCGGTCCCGTGCACCTTCGAGATCGCCCCTATTGCTTTTTTAGCTACGTTCATCAATTCCGTATAATCGGACGGTTTCGAATACGTGTATCCCCACGGTACGAGCCACATTTGCGAATAAGAGTGCAACGTCAGATAAATCCTTGAAAAATTTTATTTTACCCATCATTCCATTCCCGTTCCCAGAAATCAAAATGCGAAATTTGAATCGATCGCCATATCCATTCGATGTACCTGATATCCTTTTTATTGGCCAAGATATAATCGGCCATCGCCTTGGTTTCCGGCTCAGAGAAGGCTCGTGGACCGGCGTAAGTTTCGTGGCAAGGGTCCAGGCTGGTCCCACCCTCCTTCACCTCGCCCCAATGGTATCCAAAATTCCTGTTCGGGTCGACGCCCTCGCACTTACCCCATAACCACTTCGTATAATGGTTCAATAGTTGAAAGAAGCTGTAATCGGTGTATCTATGCCGAGAAAACATTTATTATTCATTCATTCCGTTTACCGCTCGACGAAGCGTCATCATTTTTTAAAAAGAAAAAGTAACAAAGACGACACGAGGATGCGAGATCGTACCGACTGTCGTCTTGATTCTCCTCGTGATTGCTCCTCGTCTTCCTCCACAATCTGTCACTCGTGTGACTGTACTCGTAGCCGTCCGGATTCGCGACAGGTAAGATCATCCAGTCTGAATTCTCCAGCAATTTAGCGTAGCTCGAGTTCTTCTCGACTAACTGGCTGATGATGTAGGTCGCCACAGCGGAACCGATCCATTCACGCGCGTGCATACCTACCGAATGTGAGGACAATTCGAGAAAAATACGGAGTAACGGGACAGGATCGCGTGGAACGCGTCGAGCATAAAAAAATTTTGCCTCCTCGAAATTTCTTTCTTTCTTTCTTTTTTTTTTTTTTTAAGAAAATTTCATTCTGATAATTAAAGGGAAGCGAGATTAAAATTCGTGAATAACTTTCTTCAAGAAAATCTTTCGTTTGAAAAAAAGGAAAGAGATTCGAGAAATTCGATAAAATTCGAATAATTAATTTCCAGGAAGAAAGAAGTTTTTCTACTTCTACTTCATTTGCATATTCCGGTAATTTATTACCATTCCTATATAATATTTGGTTGGTCGGGATAATTAGAAAGAGCTACGAAACTACGTATTATGCTGTACGAGATGCTGACTTATTCATGCAGGAATAACTGTTTCTCGAAGACACCGATTCATACTCGGTGTTTACAGTATGTTTACTTACTTACAATTAAATGAAGTGATCTTTAGATATAAATTTCAGACTGTAATTTTAAATTGATTTTGCACGAATGTTATAAACATTTTATCAATTATATTTAACGTCTTATTGAAAATAAATAAATAAATATATCGCGGATAGATTTCCGTATCCATCGACGAATCGCCAAATAGTAATATCCTTCTCTCATTACGAACCCAATATCCTATCTTCCTGATCTTGGAATTTTAATCGTACACAGGAAACGATCATTTCTTTTAAAAAAGAAATGAATTCCAGGCTAGAAATTGCCTCGTGCGTGCAGTCTCGCGGAAGGATTTCCACGTTTATTATGCGGAGTATATAACGTCGTTTGAACATAAATCCACGGAATAACCAACGAGAATAATAATAAAGAAGCCGCTTTCGTGTTGTCAAAGACCAAATGCGCCACGATTCGAAGAAAATTTGAACCACGTACGAATGTCTGTATAATTTTTCACGTATTCTTCTTCTTCCTCTTTCTTTTTTTTTTTTCTCGATGTAAATAAGTTTTTTCTATGGGGAACATAGCAGGAGAATCGAAACTCACCAGCGTCTATCCAGACAGCCGATTTGGATCCATTCTTCTTGTTTCGCCCGTTCGAAATTTTGACCATTTTAATGGGTTGACCCTCGTAACTGTGGCCTATCGTTATCACTTCGACCAGTTTAGGATACTTTAGATTTAGATATTCCATGTATCTGACGATCTCTGAGAAAAAAAATATTCATAAAGATTTCGTTTATAATTAATCGTTCTTAAATTGAAAACAAATATTGTAAGGCCGGTTGTAATGCTCGAGAAGTCTTGTGAATTCATCTAACAGGAATATTGTTATCCTGTAGTGGGGAGTAGTGGGGAGAGATAGGTTGGGATATGGTTAGAAGGAAGGCAGGAATGGTAAGAGGAGATTGAGAACGGTGGAGGGGCTACTTGGAACCAGGGGATCAGATTCGCGTTGAAAGTTGCCTTTATTAGAAAAGTTCAATGGGAAACAGAGTTATGAAACTTTGTTTGTGCGAAGATTCACGTTTTCCGAGCGTGAAATTTCAAAAGTATAGGGATGGAACTAGGGATGTTTAAATATCGAAAATAAGGAAATTTCCAAGTTTGAAAAGTTGTCATACCTCCATATCGATGATATCGTTTCCAAGTCATACTGTGTCCCTGGCTCGAGACGAGATCATCCCGTTGTTCCTTCGACATTTTTGGATTTTGATTCGCTATCGTTTTCTATCGCAATAAAATCGAAAGAAACAATTAAACGATTTGTCGTAAAGATTAATCCCCTATCGATTTATCTTCTAGTCGGTTTTTTTTTTTTTTTTTTTCCCAAAAAAAACCAAAAAAACAAATAAACGATTTTTCGGAAAAATTTATCCCCTTTCGATTTTTCTTCTAGTCGGTTTTTTTTCTTTTTTTTTTTTTCCCAAAAAAAACCAAAAAAACAAATAAACGATTTTTCGGAAAAATTTATCCCCTTTCGATTTTTCTTCTAGTCGGTTTTTTTTTTTTTTTTTTTGATAATTTATTTTTCTCTGATGCCATCTCGTACCTGAATATTCGTTATCAAAACTTTGAAATCGATTCCTTTGTCTCTAAAGAATATTTTCAATTCGGGGACAAGATCTGGAGCGACGACTATGTCGGTTGTTCTAGAATAAACGATTATAAAAATAATTCACAATAGAAATGGAATAATTCCATAGAATTAAGATTGAAGAAGTGGAAAGAGGAAGGAAAAATACACGAAACACACTTGTTGTACATCGGTTCGCTCCAGAATTTAATATCCTCGGTCTCGGCCTCTTTTAGCTCTTTTAACTCGTTCACGTGTCCTTGGGTACTGGGGAACAATCTGATCAATTGATAATTTTTGTAATTCACTCTGTTGGGTTTAGGTTTGCCACTTTTCTCCGTGCCGATGATACTAGTCACGATGGAATCGAGTCCGTTAGCCATCACAGTGAACACAGAATCGACGATGTTCGAGAAAGAAAATCCTCTGATTTCATTATCGATTATTAAATGATCCTTGGTCTCGTTGTATACGATATCCTTTACCGTAAATCTAAAACAAAATCCACGATTCTTTTCTTTTCGTTTCTTTTTTTTTTCTTTTTTTCCAAAATCCTCCACCATGATTTTAATTTCTTAATCACTGGAAATCCAATCTTTATCTTTAAATTCCAACGAGAGAGAAATATATTCAAAAATCTACGATCGACGATAATTGTAAATAAGACGATCGATCGATCACCACGGATATGAACGTTCGAACCACCGTTGAATTTAAAATTCCAGAAGAAAAAAAAAAGATCTACTATCGAAATTCGAAATTCAATCACAGAAAATAATATTTTCCTCCAACCTTGCTTCACGATTCTTCTTATCAAAGGACCAATCGTTCTTGCTCAAGGACGAGCAATTATACTCCCCCACGGGCAAAAATTCGAAATCGGCGCGCTGTGGTCGAGCCATGGCTCGATTCGAGGCGATGATCACCGATAAACCGAACGCGAGACGGAAAATCGACTTCAAGTCGACAGCCATGGTCGGCCTGAATCAGGCCCGGGATATACGCTCGTCGCGACGTCTTCTCGTTGACTAATCCCATGGTGCAAACCAGTCTTCCCGACTCCGTTGCTCCGTACGCGAAAAACGACAATTTCACTGGACCTGCCCCACGGGCTTGACTTACGGGATTTCTGTGTGGCATTCAATACCTCGTGGGAACATTTATGGCCTCGTAAATGGATAGAAGGTTAGTGGAATAAATAAATTCTACTCTGTGATCCTTTGTGGATGGATCGATGATTTATAGCTTTAATTCTTTTCCTATTCTTGTCGATCATGACATTTCTATTTATTTATTTTTTTTTTTTTTTTGAATTGTTCGGAGAATTAATCATTTATTGCTTTGCGTCGAAACATCGATTCAATTGGGATCGAGAGGAATCCGGTCGAGAGGAAATATAGTCTAACATTTTTATTTGCGACACACAGCTCCATTCCATTCTAATTCGTTAACGGTAATTTTCTTACCTACCTTGTCTAATCCTTGTTCGATTCTCTTCGAACGGAAAATACGAGGTTACGGAATGAAATCGTGCTATTTTTTTCTTTCTTTCTTCTTTTGACTGATTTTCCTTTCATTTTAAGTAATTTTACATCCACGATATTTACAAGTTAACGAGGAAAGTAAAGTTTTTACTGTCAGTTTACGTTAATTTTCATCCGTTCACTTTTGATCATTCTACTTTTGCATTCGTTCAAGTAAGACTTACTATTCCGCGATTTAGATATAATAACGAGCATATTCTGTAGGAAGAAATAAGGGGGGGGGGGAAGTGGGAAAAGTTTATTCCTCTTCTTTGTTTTAAATATTAACGTTCTCCTGAATCAAAATCAAACGAGGATTGGATTATTCGGGATTACGCTGCGAATATGATTTATTATCGTTTACAACTATAAGAGCATTACCGGTTTTCCCGGTATATTGCGGCAATACAATTATTGCGTGAATGTACGTAATGATAGAGCGTAAATAAGTAATAATAATTAATAATTATATTATAATAATGACTGGTGTTAAATTAATGTTACTCTGTTAGTCGGTTTTCCACATGTACGAAAAGAAATTGAAACATACACAATACAAAGAGACGGGAGAATGATCGCGCCACGAGGCCGGAAGAAATCGGCCACGGGGAACGGCATCGAGGAAGAAAGTAGAGGAGATACGATCGAGAAGAAAAATCATCGGATCATCTCGGATTGTTCTCGTATCCCTGCGATCGAGATTTATATCTTATGTCTCAGAATTCCCCGTTCGTTCGAGTATGCACATCGAATTTTGACTAGCAGCACGGTGTCTATGACGAAAAAAAAAAAAAAAAAAATCCCTCGACCTTCGTTCCGTCCATCCATTGAATGGATTGGATTGGATAAAAGAAGAGGGAGATCCTTGCAACGAGATCCGGATTGATCTTCTCGATCTTGCATCAAGAACAAGGTAAGGAAAAGAAGTAGACGAAGGGAAACTAGGAAAGGAAAAATTTTCGCGACGTCGAGGAACGACGATAAACGACATTTTTTTTTTTCTTTTCCTTTTTTTCTTTTTATCGTGGATCCTCTCGTGGCACGGTATTGTCGGTAATTACACGTATAACGATTTTTTTTCCGTGATATAATTGACTGCTTGTCGTCGTCCCCGCCGATCTCATCTTCCTTCGTCGACGTATATTTTCCAATTTTTATCCTTTTTCTTTTTCTTTCTCTTTTTTTTTTTTTTTTTTTTTTCTAGACGAACGAAGGAGGACGTTACTCGTGAGGACGAATTAAATGGCAAGAACCTACGGGGAGTCATCAAACAAAATGTGATGTTTCGGTTTCGATACCGCTCTACTCCTCTTCGAGTATCGTTTATTTATTCAGTTCCGTCACGTTGACGCGTTTCAAAGGGGAGAAAAAAAAGAAAAAAAGAAAAGAAAATTAAAAATTTCTCTTCCTTTTTTTCCTCTCCCCCCCTCCCCCCCTTTTTATTCCTCGACCTTTATCGTCGATTCTTATCTCAATGAGCTCG